CTCCTGGGGACTGGGGAACGCCAAAATGAGGAGAAAACGGGCCATTTTTTGCTCGTTTTTCCCCCCCCCCCAGCCCCCAGGAGCACTCTACAAGTCTCCTAAAGGCTATGCATGCCCCCCTTTTTTTTTGACAAAAGAACGGGCTGTTTTTGGGAGGTCAGCAGAGTGCAAAAACTTTTTTTTTTTTAATTTGCCTCTTCAAAATCCTGGTGCGTCTTATACTCCGAAACATCCTGTATTTTTAAGGTTAAAAAGCCATGCATTACAAAAAGAGCACAATCCTTCATGATTCATTCTTATTTTTCCAATTGGGGATATTTTGGGGAAATAATATAACAGGTTCTTCTGTGAGGATTCCTACCTTTTTTGATAATGCCACCACAACAATCCTTTTTTTATAGGATACCCACGCTTACTTTCTCCATTTAACATTCTCTTTAGTGGGGTGGCAACACTAGAAAGTTTCAGGGGAGAACCCATGACATAACCCAACTTAAATTTGGCCAAAGTTGAGAAACTATGCTCTAGATCAGGGGTGTCAAATTCAAGGCCCCAAAGTCTGGATCCGGCCCATGGAGTACTTAGGGCTGGCCCGTAGGGTCACCCTGGAAACAGCCCGCAGTGCTTCTACCAGTGAAAATGGGCTCCCGAGCTCCTTTCTCGGCTGCCATAGCCTCCTGCAACTCTCTGCCAGTGAAAATGAAGCTCGGGAGGGTCGCGTGCGAGAACAGGAGCTCAGGAACCCATTTTCGCTGGCAGAGCGGTTGGACCACCACGGGCACCCCTGACAGGTGTGACACCAAGCTGGCCATGCCCACCTGGCCACACCTACCCCAACCCCCCCCCCGAGGTCAAACACAACCCTGATGCGGCCCTCAATGAAACCGAGTTTGACACCCCTGCCCTAGATCAGTCCTCCCCCCAACTTTTGGGGCACCAGGGACCAGTTCCATGGAGAGACGTTTTTCCGCGCACTAGAGGGGAGGTGGTCTCTCATGGCGCCTTCATCCCGCAGACAGGGCTTCGTGGTGGCAGAGTGGTTAGAGTGCAGTACTGCCAGCTGCTTCTGCTGACTGCTAGCAGTTTAGTAATTCGAGTCTCACCAGGCTTAAGGTTGACTCAGCCTTCCATCCTTCCAAAGTTGGGAAAATGAGGACCCAGACTGTTGGGGGGGGGGGCAATATGCTGACTCTGCAAACCGCTTAGAAAGGGCTATAAGAGCACTGGTAAGTGGTAAGTACAGTAAGTCTAAGACAAATTCCTCCAATAAAGAATTCAACTCAACTCAACTATACTTGGCCAATAAAGACTTCAACTCAACTCAACTCAACTCTTACTCTAGTCTACTCTACTCGCTATTTCTTGTTTATGTTGCCCAGTTACTGGTTTGGGTCCCCTGCACTAGATAATGCTGAAGGTGTCATTGCCAGCTGGCATCAGCTACGGGAGACAAGCAGCTTAAACCAGCCATGCAGAAGAGTCCAAAGAAGCCCCTAATATTTGATCTGTCGGGCACTCAAAGTGACTTACCCAGTGAGCCTTCCTCCCCTCCGGCTTCTTGCTTGGCTTCCTTAAAAAGCCGTGCCTTCACCATCTCCGACAGAGCTTGGTTTCCTTTGGGGGGCTTTTCAGATTCCTCCTCTGTCATCCCCATCATCTGGAGCAGCAAAGGGGAAACAGATGTTGAGACAACGGGACAGGAGGCAGATAAACTCATTCCTGGACTTACAACTGCAATGTTATTTCAGCCTACTGTAGTTTAAAGCAGGGCTGCTCAACCGTGTTTCAAGTTGCGTGGACTTCAATTCCCCAAATCTCTAGCCAGAAGGGTGTCTGGAGAATACTGGGAATTGTAGTCCACTTCTCATCAGTTGCCAAAGTTGAGAAATACTGGCTGAAAGATTAAAAACAAAACTTGAGGGTGGGGGGGAAGGCAGTTTGCAGCTTCTTCCAGGGAGACAACACACCAGGAGTTTCAACATGGAGCTGGTTCTTCACAAGTATGAGATCACTTATTTCATTTTATTTTACCCTGGTTTGCACTCTTATTCTGTTGTGGCTCGCCAGCAGCCAGCGGAGCTGGCAGCAGATTCAGACAGTGAGGAGGTTGGGGAGGAAGATGGGCCAGTCCTGGAGTCTGGGGAAGGCTCGGATGGGGGCTCTGTGTTGGAGGGAGGGGGGGGGGGCAGAGCCGTATGCCAGTTGTCAGCTGCCTTCAGAGTCAGACATCAGTGAGGCAGACAAACAGCT